CTGGTGGGCACTCATGACATCCCCAAGGCCTCCAATGTCCAACTGTGATGTCCCCAAAGGCCTAGAGGGGCACCCATGATGTCCCCAAAGGCCCAGGTGGGCCCCCATGACCTCCCCAACACCCCTGGTGGGCACTCATGACATCCCCAAGGCCTCCAATGTCCAACTGTGATGTCCCCAAAGGCCTAGAGGGGCACCCATGATGTCCCCAAAGGCCCAGGTGGGCCCCCATGACCTCCCCAACACCCCTGGTGGGCACTCATGACATCCCCAAGGCCTCCAATGTCCAACTGTGATGTCCCCAAAGGCCTAGAGGGGCACCCATGATGTCCCCAAAGGCCCAGGTGGGCCCCCATGACCTCCCCAACACCCCTGGTGGGCACTCATGACATCCCCAAGGCCTCCAATGTCCAACTGTGATGTCCCCAAAGGCCTAGAGGGGCACCCATGATGTCCCCAAAGGCCCAGGTGGGCCCCCATGACCTCCCCAACACCCCTGGTGGGCACTCATGACATCCCCAAGGCCTCCAATGTCCAACTGTGATGTCCCCAAAGGCCTAGAGGGGCACCCATGATGTCCCCAAAGGCCCAGGTGGGCCCCCATGACCTCCCCAACACCCCTGGTGGGCACTCATGACATCCCCAAGGCCTCCAATGTCCAACTGTGATGTCCCCAAAGGCCTAGAGGGGCACCCATGATGTCCCCAAAGGCCCAGGTGGGCCCCCATGACCTCCCCAACACCCCTGGTGGGCACTCATGACATCCCCAAGGCCTCCAATGTCCAACTGTGATGTCCCCAAAGGCCTAGAGGGGCACCCATGATGTCCCCAAAGGCCCAGGTGGGCCCCCATGACCTCCCCAACACCCCTGGTGGGCACTCATGACATCCCCAAGGCCTCCAATGTCCAACTGTGATGTCCCCAAAGGCCTAGAGGGGCACCCATGATGTCCCCAAAGGCCCAGGTGGGCCCCCATGACCTCCCCAACACCCCTGGTGGGCACTCATGACATCCCCAAGGCCTCCAATGTCCAACTGTGATGTCCCCAAAGGCCTAGAGGGGCACCCATGATGTCCCCAAAGGCCCAGGTGGGCCCCCATGACCTCCCCAACACCCCTGGTGGGCACTCATGACATCCCCAAGGCCTCCAATGTCCAACTGTGATGTCCCCAAAGGCCTAGAGGGGCACCCATGATGTCCCCAAAGGCCCAGGTGGGCCCCCATGACCTCCCCAACACCCCTGGTGGGCACTCATGACATCCCCAAGGCCTCCAATGTCCAACTGTGATGTCCCCAAAGGCCTAGAGGGGCACCCATGATGTCCCCAAAGGCCCAGGTGGGCCCCCATGACCTCCCCAACACCCCTGGTGGGCACTCATGACATCCCCAAGGCCTCCAATGTCCAACTGTGATGTCCCCAAAGGCCTAGAGGGGCACCCATGATGTCCCCAAAGGCCCAGGTGGGCCCCCATGACCTCCCCAACACCCCTGGTGGGCACTCATGACATCCCCAAGGCCTCCAATGTCCAACTGTGATGTCCCCAAAGGCCTAGAGGGGCACCCATGATGTCCCCAAAGGCCCAGGTGGGCCCCCATGACCTCCCCAACACCCCTGGTGGGCACTCATGACATCCCCAAGGCCTCCAATGTCCAACTGTGATGTCCCCAAAGGCCTAGAGGGGCACCCATGATGTCCCCAAAGGCCCAGGTGGGCCCCCATGACCTCCCCAACACCCCTGGTGGGCACTCATGACATCCCCAAGGCCTCCAATGTCCAACTGTGATGTCCCCAAAGGCCTAGAGGGGCACCCATGATGTCCCCAAAGGCCCAGGTGGGCCCCCATGACCTCCCCAACACCCCTGGTGGGCACTCATGACATCCCCAAGGCCTCCAATGTCCAACTGTGATGTCCCCAAAGGCCTAGAGGGGCACCCATGATGTCCCCAAAGGCCCAGGTGGGCCCCCATGACCTCCCCAACACCCCTGGTGGGCACTCATGACATCCCCAAGGCCTCCAATGTCCAACTGTGATGTCCCCAAAGGCCTAGAGGGGCACCCATGATGTCCCCAAAGGCCCAGGTGGGCCCCCATGACCTCCCCAACACCCCTGGTGGGCACTCATGACATCCCCAAGGCCTCCAATGTCCAACTGTGATGTCCCCAAAGGCCTAGAGGGGCACCCATGATGTCCCCAAAGGCCCAGGTGGGCCCCCATGACCTCCCCAACACCCCTGGTGGGCACTCATGACATCCCCAAGGCCTCCAATGTCCAACTGTGATGTCCCCAAAGGCCTAGAGGGGCACCCATGATGTCCCCAAAGGCCCAGGTGGGCCCCCATGACCTCCCCAACACCCCTGGTGGGCACTCATGACATCCCCAAGGCCTCCAATGTCCAACTGTGATGTCCCCAAAGGCCTAGAGGGGCACCCATGATGTCCCCAAAGGCCCAGGTGGGCCCCCATGACCTCCCCAACACCCCTGGTGGGCACTCATGACATCCCCAAGGCCTCCAATGTCCAACTGTGATGTCCCCAAAGGCCTAGAGGGGCACCCATGATGTCCCCAAAGGCCCAGGTGGGCCCCCATGACCTCCCCAACACCCCTGGTGGGCACTCATGACATCCCCAAGGCCTCCAATGTCCAACTGTGATGTCCCCAAAGGCCTAGAGGGGCACCCATGATGTCCCCAAAGGCCCAGGTGGGCCCCCATGACCTCCCCAACACCCCTGGTGGGCACTCATGACATCCCCAAGGCCTCCAATGTCCAACTGTGATGTCCCCAAAGGCCTAGAGGGGCACCCATGATGTCCCCAAAGGCCCAGGTGGGCCCCCATGACCTCCCCAACACCCCTGGTGGGCACTCATGACATCCCCAAGGCCTCCAATGTCCAACTGTGATGTCCCCAAAGGCCTAGAGGGGCACCCATGATGTCCCCAAAGGCCCAGGTGGGCCCCCATGACCTCCCCAACACCCCTGGTGGGCACTCATGACATCCCCAAGGCCTCCAATGTCCAACTGTGATGTCCCCAAAGGCCTAGAGGGGCACCCATGATGTCCCCAAAGGCCCAGGTGGGCCCCCATGACCTCCCCAACACCCCTGGTGGGCACTCATGACATCCCCAAGGCCTCCAATGTCCAACTGTGATGTCCCCAAAGGCCTAGAGGGGCACCCATGATGTCCCCAAAGGCCCAGGTGGGCCCCCATGACCTCCCCAACACCCCTGGTGGGCACTCATGACATCCCCAAGGCCTCCAATGTCCAACTGTGATGTCCCCAAAGGCCTAGAGGGGCACCCATGATGTCCCCAAAGGCCCAGGTGGGCCCCCATGACCTCCCCAACACCCCTGGTGGGCACTCATGACATCCCCAAGGCCTCCAATGTCCAACTGTGATGTCCCCAAAGGCCTAGAGGGGCACCCATGATGTCCCCAAAGGCCCAGGTGGGCCCCCATGACCTCCCCAACACCCCTGGTGGGCACTCATGACATCCCCAAGGCCTCCAATGTCCAACTGTGATGTCCCCAAAGGCCTAGAGGGGCACCCATGATGTCCCCAAAGGCCCAGGTGGGCCCCCATGACCTCCCCAACACCCCTGGTGGGCACTCATGACATCCCCAAGGCCTCCAATGTCCAACTGTGATGTCCCCAAAGGCCTAGAGGGGCACCCATGATGTCCCCAAAGGCCCAGGTGGGCCCCCATGACCTCCCCAACACCCCTGGTGGGCACTCATGACATCCCCAAGGCCTCCAATGTCCAACTGTGATGTCCCCAAAGGCCTAGAGGGGCACCCATGATGTCCCCAAAGGCCCAGGTGGGCCCCCATGACCTCCCCAACACCCCTGGTGGGCACTCATGACATCCCCAAGGCCTCCAATGTCCAACTGTGATGTCCCCAAAGGCCTAGAGGGGCACCCATGATGTCCCCAAAGGCCCAGGTGGGCCCCCATGACCTCCCCAACACCCCTGGTGGGCACTCATGACATCCCCAAGGCCTCCAATGTCCAACTGTGATGTCCCCAAAGGCCTAGAGGGGCACCCATGATGTCCCCAAAGGCCCAGGTGGGCCCCCATGACCTCCCCAACACCCCTGGTGGGCACTCATGACATCCCCAAGGCCTCCAATGTCCAACTGTGATGTCCCCAAAGGCCTAGAGGGGCACCCATGATGTCCCCAAAGGCCCAGGTGGGCCCCCATGACCTCCCCAACACCCCTGGTGGGCACTCATGACATCCCCAAGGCCTCCAATGTCCAACTGTGATGTCCCCAAAGGCCTAGAGGGGCACCCATGATGTCCCCAAAGGCCCAGGTGGGCCCCCATGACCTCCCCAACACCCCTGGTGGGCACTCATGACATCCCCAAGGCCTCCAATGTCCAACTGTGATGTCCCCAAAGGCCTAGAGGGGCACCCATGATGTCCCCAAAGGCCCAGGTGGGCCCCCATGACCTCCCCAACACCCCTGGTGGGCACTCATGACATCCCCAAGGCCTCCAATGTCCAACTGTGATGTCCCCAAAGGCCTAGAGGGGCACCCATGATGTCCCCAAAGGCCCAGGTGGGCCCCCATGACCTCCCCAACACCCCTGGTGGGCACTCATGACATCCCCAAGGCCTCCAATGTCCAACTGTGATGTCCCCAAAGGCCTAGAGGGGCACCCATGATGTCCCCAAAGGCCCAGGTGGGCCCCCATGACCTCCCCAACACCCCTGGTGGGCACTCATGACATCCCCAAGGCCTCCAATGTCCAACTGTGATGTCCCCAAAGGCCTAGAGGGGCACCCATGATGTCCCCAAAGGCCCAGGTGGGCCCCCATGACCTCCCCAACGTCCAACTATGACCTCCCCAATGCCCCAGGTGGGGCCCCACGACCTCCCCAAAGCTCTTGAGATCCAACTATGACCTCCCCAAGTCCCCAGGTGGGCCCCCACGACCTCCCCAATGCCCGAGGTGGGCCCCCACGACCTCCCCAACCTCCCTCTAGAACCACCCCCACCCCAAGGTGGTGCCACCTTCTCCTGCAGGGCTTCACGCATCTCCTGGATGCCGGTGCGCTTGATGAAGTCGGGCAGCTCGAAGGGGGGCTTCTCGATGCCCCTCTTGCCCTGCAGGTATTTGCGTTTGAAACACCAATGCCGCGGCACCGGCACCGAATTTCGGGTGGCCTTGAGGTGCACCAGGAGCTTGGGGTCCTGCGCCGTCACATCGTGCATCTCCACCACGTCTGGGCGGGCCACCAGCTGCGGGGACAGGGAGGGGACGGTTGGATCAGGGAGAGCACCCCAGGGTGCCACCAGTGTCCCCAGTGGGCTCCCTGGGTGGGCACAGCCACCCCAGGGTGGCACCGGTGTCCCCAGGAGGGTCTGAAGGGGAACACTGGGCACCCCAGGGTGGCACTAGGGGACCTAGGAGGGTGACAAGGAGAACATCAGGCACCCTAAGGTGGCACCAGTGTCCCCATGGGCTCCCTGGGTGGGTACAGGGCACCCCAGGGTGGCACTAAGGGACCTGGGAGGGTGACAGGGGAGCATAGGACACCCCAGGGTGGCACCAGTGTCCCCAGTGGGCTCCCTGGGTGGGCACAAGCACCCTGGGGTGGCACCAGTGTCCCCAGGAGGGTCTCAACAAGAACATCAGGCACCCTAGGGTGGTACCAGTGTCCCCATGGACTCCCTGGGTGGGCACAGGCACCCTAGAGTGGCAATAGGGAACCTGGGAAGGTGACAAGGGGAACATTGGGCACCCAAGGGTGGCACTGGTGTCCCCAGGAGGGTCTGAAGGGGAACACTGGGCACCCCAGGGTGGCACTAGGGGACCTAGGAGGGTGACAAGGAGAACATCAGGCACCCTAGGGTGGCACCAGTGTCCCCATGGGCTCCCTGGGTGGGTACAGGGCACCCCAGGGTGGCACTAAGGGACCTGGGAGGGTGACAGGGGAGCATAGGACACCCCAGGGTGGCATCAGTGTCCCCAGTGGGCTCCCTGGGTGGGTACAGGCACCCTGGGGTGGCACCAGTGTCCCTAGGAGGGTCTCAACGAGAATATCAGGCACCCTAGGGTGGTACCAGTGTCCCCATGGACTCCCTGGGTGGGCACAGGCACCACAGGGTGGCACTAAGGGACCTGGGAGGGTGACAGGGGAGCATAGGACACCCCAGGGTGGCATCAGTGTCCCCAGTGGGCTCCCTGGGTGGGTACAGGCACCCTGGGGTGGCACCAGTGTCCCTAGGAGGGTCTCAACGAGAATATCAGGCACCCTAGGGTGGCACCAGTGTCCCCACAGGCTCCCTGGGTGGGCACAGGCACCACAGGGTGGCACTAAGGGACCTGGGAGGGTGACAAGGGGAACCTGGGTGGCACCAGTGTCCCCATGGACTCCCTGGATAGGTACAGGCACCCTAGGGTGGCGCTAAGGGACCTGGGAAGGTCTCAAGTGGAACACTGGGCACCCCAGGGTGGCCCCAGTGTCCCCAGGAGGGTCTCAAGGTAAACATCGGGCACCCCAGGGTGGCACCCAGCCTCGGGGTGACTCAAGTGTCCCCAGCCAGGCTCCCAGGGACCCAGGGTCCCACCTCCCCACTGTCCCCAGCTCTGGGGGCCACCCACATGCCCGTCCCCAGGGCATCCCTGCCCCACGGGTGCAGGACGATGGCCCAGGCGCCCTAGGGATGGGGACAGGGCCGGGGCCGTGTCCCCAGGGGTGTCACCTGCTTCAGCTCGGCCACGGTGAAGCGGTTCATGCGCCGCAGCTTCTTCTTGGAGAGCTTGGGCACCTCCGGCTTCTTCTCCTGGGGGAACACCCACGGGGTGGCACCGGCCAGAGGGCACCCAGGGACTGTCCCCACCCCAGAGTCCTTC